CCTTAAAGTGTTCCACAAAATAGAAGAAGAGGGAATACTCCCAAACTCATTCTATGAAGCCAACATCACCCTAATACCAAAACCAGGCAAAGACCCCACCAAAAAAGAAAATTACAGACCAATATCCCTGATGAATGTAGATGCAAAAATACTCAATAAAATATTAGCAAACAGAATTCAACAGTATATCAAAAGGATCATACACCATGACCAAGTGGGGTTCATCCCAGGGATGCAAGGATGGTACAACATTCGAAAATCCATCAACATCATCCACCACATCAACAAAAAGAAAGACAAAAACCACATGATCATCTCCATAGATGCTGAAAAAGCATTTGACAAAATTCAACATCCATTCATGATAAAAACTCTCAGCAAAATGGGAATAGAGGGCAAGTACCTCAACATAATAAAGGCCATATATGATAAACCCACAGCCAGCATTATACTGAACAGCGAGAAGCTGAAAGCATTTCCACTGAGATCGGGAACCAGACAGGGATGCCCACTCTCCCCACTGTTATTTAACATAGTACTGGAGGTCCTAGCCACGGCAATCAGACAAAACAAAGAAATACAAGGAATCCAGATTGGTAAAGAAGAAGTTAAACTGTCACTATTTGCAGATGATATGATACTGTACATAAAAAACCCTAAAGACTCCACTCCAAAACTACTAGAACTGATATCGGAATACAGCAAAGTTGCAGGATACAAAATCAACACACAGAAATCTGTAGCTTTCCTATACACTAACAACGAATCAATAGAAAGAGAAATCAGGAAAACAATTCCATTCACCATTGCATCAAAAAGAATAAAATACCTAGGAATAAACCTAACCAAGGAAGTGAAAGACTTATACTCTGAAAACTACAAGTCACTCTTAAGAGAAATTAAAGGGGACACTAATAAATGGAAACTCATCCCATGCTCATGGCTAGGAAGAATTAATATCGTCAAAATGGCCATCCTGCCGAAAGCAATATACAAATTTGATGCAATCCCTCTCAAATTACCAGCAACATTCTTCAATGAATTGGAACAAATAATTCAAAAATTCATATGGAAACACCAAAGACCCCGAATAGCCAAAGCAATCCTGAAAAAGAAGAATAAAGTAGGGGGGATCTCACTCCCCAACTTCAAGCTCTACTACAAAGCCATAGTAATCAAGACAATTTGGTACTGGCACAAGAACAGAGCCACAGACCAGTGGAACAGATTAGAGACCCCAGAAATTAACCCAAACATATATGGTCAATTAATATTTGATAAAGGAGCCATGGACATACAATGGCAAAATGACAGTCTCTTCAACAGATGGTGCTGGCAAAACTGGACAGCTACATGTAGGAGAATGAAACTGGACCATTGTCTAACCCCATATACAAAGGTAAACTCAAAATGGATCAAAGACCTGAATGTAAGTCACGAAACCATTAAACTCTTGGAAAAAAACATAGGCAAAAACCTCTTAGACATAAACATGAGTGATCTCTTCTTGAACATATCTCCCCGGGCAAGGAAAACAACAGCAAAAATGAGCAAGTGGGACTACATTAAGCTGAAAAGCTTCTGTACAGCGAAAGACACCATCAATAGAACAAAAAGGAACCCTACAGTATGGGAGAATATATTTGAAAATGACAGATCTGATAAAGGCTTGACGTCCAGAATATATAAAGAGCTCACACGCCTCAACAAACAAAAAACAAATAACCCAATTAAAAAATGGGCAGAGGAACTGAACAGACAGTTCTCCAAAAAAGAAATACAGATGGCCAAGAGACACATGAAAAGATGCTCCACATCGCTAATTATCAGAGAAATGCAAATTAAAACTACAATGAGGTATCACCTCACACCAGTAAGGATAGCTGCCATCCAAAAGACAAACAACAACAAATGTTGGCGAGGCTGTGGAGAAAGGGGAACCCTCCTACACTGCTGGTGGGAATGTAAATTAGTTCAACCATTGTGGAAAGCAGTATGGAGGTGCATCAAAATGCTCAAAACAGACCTACCATTTGACCCAGGAATTCCACTCCTAGGAATTTACCCTAAGAACGCAGCAATCAAGTTTGAGAAAGACAGATGCACTCCTATGTTTATCGCAGCACTATTTACAATAGCCAAGAATTGGAAGCAACCTAAATGTCCATCTGTAGATGAATGGATAAAGAAGATGTGGTACATATACACAATGGAATACTACTCAGCCATAAGAAGTGGAAAAATCCAACCATTTGCAGCAACATGGATGGAGCTGGAGAGTATTATGCTCAGTGAAATAAGCCAAGCGGAGAAAGAGAAATACCAAATGATTTCACTCATCTGAGGAGTATAGGAACAAAGGAAAAACTGAAGGAACAAAACAGCAGCAGAATTACAGAACCCAAAAATGGACTAACAGGTACCAAAGGGAAAGGAACTGGGGAGGATGGGTGGGCAGGGAGGGATAAGGGGGGGGAAGAAGAAGGGGGGTATTAAGATTAGCATGCATGGGGGGGAGGGAGAAAGGGGAGGGTGGGCTGCACAACACAGAGAGGACAAGTAGTGACTCTACAACATTTTGCTAAGCTGATGGACAGTAACCGTAATGTGGTTGTTAGGGGGGACCTGATATAGGGGAGAGCATAGTAAACATAGTATTCTTCAGGTAAGTGTAGATTAAAAATTTAAAAAAAAAAAAGAAAGAAAGAAAGAAAAGGGGGATTACTCCTTAACAGGATAAAACTATTGGTAAATCAAAGATCAACGCATGCTTTAAATATCCTTAATGTTGATCACTTAAAGGGTGTCAGATGATCAGCTATGGAGGTACTCTTTTCTGATAATATTCCTTTCTCTTAATTAAAAAAAAAAAAAAAAAGCAGTTACTGTGTGCTGACCTCCAATGAGTTCTGCACAGTGGTATAGAGGGCATGTCAAAGTGTGGGCAAAGGGTCTGTTTGTTTCTACGCAGAAGATCAAGGCCTAGCTTGGATACCCAGAAAATGAACTAAGATACGATATGAGGAGGAGCTTCCGGCATCAGCACTCTCTGGAGGACTCGTGCCGGGGGATGATCATCAAAAAGCCTCCACAGGGATCCGGACGATGCTGCGGTTGTGGCTGCATCCAGCCCACCGTCTCCTGGACTTGCCATAAGAAGGAGGAGGGAGATGTCTAGGCTGGCATGTGCATACAGTGAGACAACGAATTTGACTGGATCTGTACTGTTGGAACTCAACCAGGAGTTGGGAGGGGTGCAAGTTGTAGCACCCCAAAATCTCATGACTATAGACTATCTATGGTTAAAAGAACATATGGGATGTGAACAGATCCCAGAAATGGGCTGCTTTAATTTGTCTGATGGTTCAAGTACAGTTGGAAAATATCCATCATATCATAGATAAATTTTCACAAATGCCTAGGGTGCCTAAATGGTTTTCTTGGCTTCACTGGAGATGGCTGGTAATTATAGATTTGCTTTGTTTATGTCACCGTATTCCTATTATGTTAATATGTGTGTGCAAATTAGTTAGTAGTTTAAAACCTATACATACTTAAGGTACTATACAAGAAGATATGTCAAAGAAATAATCAATCCTCCCAAGTTTCCTTCATATGCTACATCTATAGCTTTTCTTCTTCCTTCCTAATTACAACCCTTAAATAGAATTCGTGCCTCATATCGAATTTACCGAGTATCATAATTCCTCCAGGTGGTAAAGATACCTCGAGACAAGTGCTGGGCATAGAAGCCACAGGGCATAAATCTGCAAAGAAGTAAAAAGCTAACCTTTGCAAACAATATGGCTTCTCTCTCACTTACCAACTTTACATTTCCCTGTATGGCCCCGGAAGATGACTGGTTAGCCAGAGACGGGTAAGATTCCTCAAGGGAGGAACAACCTAAGACAGGCACAGTCGCAGGGGGGCCATCAGGTGAGAATTTGGGGATCAACAGAGGTGAGGCTCAGAACCTCACCCCCCCTGCTTTGAGAGAAATCTTCTGCATCCGTGGATGTCTTGCTGCCCTTGTCTAGCCTGGATTAATACTTAGTCCATAGGCACACACCTGATCATCTGATCATCTACATTTGCCTTCTTACAGCACTAAACTATGTTTTCTACCTTTATCTTGCATCTACCTACCACTTCAGCATTTTATTAAAAATAAAAATAATAATAATAATAGGAGAAATGTGGGATCAACATATAAATCAAGTACAAAAATCAAATGAATATTCATATTTGACCTGATGGTTTATAGGTCATATTGCATGATCAAAACCGAAAGTTTCTGTGATGACTGCCCTTGTACTGTTCACCATGTAGGAATTTATTCACTATGTAAGAATTCGTTCACCATGTAAGAACTTGTTCGTTATGCTTCAGAAGATTGGAGACTGACGAGAATTAGGCTTGAGATGGATTAATGATTCTACATTGAGCATTGACCCCCCTATACTGAATTTTATTGTTGTTAACAACCATTTGATCAATAAATATGAGAGATGCCCTCTCAAAAAAAAAATACAAGCAAACAAAACTCTTTTAAAGAACAACATGATCTTTAGACCTCTTTTACTTTGTAGTAAATATATTGATTAAGCACAGAAAATAGAAGTATGTATGTTTGATTTCTGTGTATTTTGGTTTCAGAGAGCATAGGAGCAGCAACTATAAAAGCTCAAAAATCTGTTTACCTGCTAGCTTTGACACGTGTCTTAGGCCCCCTAAGTTTCTTATCTCCAGGTACCCATACATTTTTTTTCAATATCAGAGAGAGAGAATAAAATTTCTTCTGGAAAATTAAATACTTCTATTTGTACATAACTATAGAAGTTTGACCAGTAATCATCTCAGTACATGAAAATACTGTATACATTTGTTCACTGAAAAATCTTATTTGACCCAGTGTTAATAATGAACTTTTGTTCATTTCAAAGTTGTAGCTCATCATTTTTATCAAACTGTAACAGCTAAAGGCCTTTCAAACTTTTCAGGGAAGTGTGACAGCGATGACTGTGTTTTTTCCCTTGGATACAGCTCGACTTCGGCTTCAAGGTGAGTGTCTTTTTTAGTCATATTCCTGTTCATTTGGTGTCAGGAAGTAACGTATTTCTCCACTGAATTCTAAATCAACATAAGATATTTTGTTTCATTAGAGATCTGCTGTTCATTTTCACTAACTTTAAATTCTGATTACCATTGCTGTTTCCTAATTAACAGGTGCTCAAGGGTGAGTCATAGCGTCAGCCATTTGCTAATCTGAGAGAACCTGAGTGGGTTTACATTGATAATTTTGAATCATTACAATTCTTTGTAATAAACAACATGACTTTTTAAAGGCACACTGTGGAGTTTCTCCTGGGGGCAGCTTTTCTCAGGAGAGAATAGAGAATAGGAAACATAGTTGAGCCAAATACCTATACTTACTGTCACTGCTAATCTAGACATGTAGTCCTAGTTCACCTCTTTCACTTTATAGTACTGTGCAGATCTCTATAACTCCTGCTTGTTTTTTTCCTCACTGGTTTTCAAGTTGAAATTATAAACCTGTATCAGAACCTACATGAAGAGTTAAGAATAAGATTAGCTTTGATAAAGTAGTTCCTGTGTTAAAACCACTCCTACTATTTTTTTCTTTACAATATAAATTTTATTACATAAAAAAAAATAAAGTCATGTATCGCTAAGTTGTACAAACTTTTGGTAATTTGGCATCAATGCTTTAAAAAGTTTAAGGTTCTTAAAGGTCTCCATGCCCCAGCCCACCTAATCATGGTTTAGAAAGGTGGGGTCTAATCTCAATCCAGTTTTTTCAGTCAGAAGTCCTGAGGGATGTTGTGATCCCAGAGCCAGGCATAGACTAGTGTCTGACTGCTCAGGGTGGCTGATGAGCAGACCGTCATTGATTTGTTCATACATATTTATGGAGCACCTGGTCAGTGCCACACCCTGTTCTCAGAATGACTGCTGTTTTAAGTAACAGTTTTGAGATACCTAAAAATTTCATATGACTCACAATCCAAAATGTATAAAAAGATACATACACAGTACAGTGAATTCACTATAGTCTGCCCCATCCCCCATTTCTGTCCCCTGCAGATGTCTTTATTAGTCTCTCAAATAGCTTCACACACTTTCTTTATGAAATAACAAGCAAATAATTTTTCTTAAATTTCTTCCTTTTTTAGACAAAAAGCGTACCTTTCACTCTCTCATGCATTTTTCACTTACCAGCGTATTTTTGAATGCCTTCCAAGTCAATGCATTGGGAGCTGCTTCATCCCTCTAGCTGTAGAGTGTTCAGTAGTGTGAACGCGCTGTAACCTGTTTACCCTTTCCTCTTTTGTAGATTCTTGGGTGTTTCTTCTCTTTTGTAAACTAGACTTGTTCCTATGTCATTTTGTTCCTGTAAGTTCTATGGGATAAATTCCCAGAAGTGAGATTGCTGGATCAAAGGATTAATTTTTTTTAAAATTTTGATAGTTATTGTCAGATTGCCTACTATAGGGGTTTCTTCATTTGCCATCCCATGAGCCATACAGGTGTAATTTTAATTCTTAAGCAGTTTGGTTCATTTCCACATTTTTATGTTTTCAAAATATTCTTCATACATGGGTAGAAAATTTGAAGTTAATAGAAGTAGGTTTTGTTTGCAGTGAGAATGCCAGAAAGAGCAGAGTTCTCATCCTTTTGAGACCTTTTATTTTTTAGATCAGGAAACAGCACTAAAACTTTGGAAACTTGAGTTTTAATCCCAGCTCTGCTGTCAACTGCATGTGTCCTTCACAGCTTTTGTGTCATAACCTCTGTAATGAGGAAATGTCATTTATTACCTCTCTACTTTGTAAGATGTTCAGATAAAAATGAGAATATATAACTTCAAAAAAAAGACAAGAGAGCCTTATGAAATGTAAGAAATAAATTTTTCCTGTCACATCTTTTACTTTGGAAATTAGTTATTGAGTTAAAATACCTTATGGTTCATTAATAACAGATGGAAAGCCAAGCAATCTACAGTAGGGAATTTAGCGCATGAGACACCAGAGGATCATTGAATTCTGAGGCAAACTCGGGAGCTCAAAGTATAGTGTGGGAGCTCACTCAGGGGGGGCAGATGGCATTTCAGGGAAACTTGCTGATCTGAAGATGATTTTCAAAGGATTAAGAATTAAATGATTAAATGTATATTCTCTTGTAGTTGATGAGAAAAGAAAGTCCAAAACTACACACATGGTGCTCCTGGAGATCATTAAAGAAGAGGGCCTGTGAGTACTGCCTCATTCATCCCTGTAAGACAGAGCAGCTCGTTAGGAGAGTCGTGGGCTTCCAACACACTTCCACTTACTTTCTACCCACTCTCATAGCCTAACAGTGTTGGGAGTTGTAATTGCCTGACTTGCAGATACACAGTTGTTTTCATTTCATTTCCAAGTTCTGTGGTTGCCCATTTTGACTCTTGACCATAGAGTCTTCCATAAAACCAACATCTTGTTTTATGTACAGTAATCCACAGAAGGTATAGTTGTTTAGTTCACTCCTATCATATGCATTCAGACATATTGTATACTTTTTAAAAAAAATTTTATTTGGGAATTCAAATTTACAAAAAGCTGCAAAACTGAAAATAGTACAAAGAATACCAGTGTATTCTTTACCCGGATTTCACCTTTTATTAGCACTTTTCCCCATTTGTTTTACCATTTGTGCTCATACTTCTTCCCTCCTTCCTCCATCCCTCCCTGCTTCTCTTTATTACACATTCACATGTACACACCACACACAAATTTTTTCAGAATTATTTGGGAACAAGTAACATACCATACATCAAGCCCTTTGCCCCTATAATGTTGATATTTTTAAAGAACATAGTACCACTTCCCTTTTTTTAAACAGAATGTTTCTCATTTTAAGTTTGCCTCATGTTTCTTCATGAGTAAATTGAAGCTATGAGATGATGTGGTGTGTCATTCTTGGCATTACATCTGGAGTCACATATTATCCACCTACCATTGGTTAATGATTTCTGAGATTCGAGTTAGCCACCAAATAATTTTATTTTCCTCTCTTGCAACTATAAACAATCTATGAGGAGGTACTTTATTTAGTACCAATATAAACTCAGAAATTTGTCTTTTTCAATGGTTTATAGTTGATTGCTATACTTTTTTATTTTGGGGCTCAAATTGTCCCAGGTTTGGCCACTGGGAGCCTCTTCAGTCTGGTTCCTATGACATTATAACATGTTCCCATCACTTTTTTTTTTTTTTGCATTTATTTTCTATATACACTTCATTTAAAATGTTCTTACCCTACAGTAATGTGGATGATGTTGTATGAACTAACAGCCATGAGGAAATTGTCTTTAATTTTACATGGCAATTTACTAATTTAAAAGGAAATCAGTAAATCAGTCATTGATTGTTTCTTTGATATTATTAACGCTTGAAAAGATTTCTTAGTTTAAGCATTCTTCAGAAAGTAAGGTATGTGTACTGTTCAGAGTACATTGTAGTGTAGGAATGAACTTACAGAATATATGAATGATGATCAGCCTTTCCTAGGACTTTCCTATTTCTTAGGGCTTTTGTCCAGCATCTTTACTTCATTTATTGTGTTTTTCTTGTAGCCTTGCACCATATCGGGGATGGTTTCCAGTGATCTCCAGTCTCTGCTGCTCCAATTTTGTCTATTTCTACACTTTTAATAGCCTCAAAGCAGTCTGGGTTAAAGGTCAACGTTCTACTACTGGGAAAGATCTGGTAGTTGGATTTGTTGCAGGTAACAAAGTTTTCTGAGTACAAAATGTTTTGATATTGCAGTCTGTATGTCCTCTGAGAGGTTATTTTAGCACCGAGTTTTGCTACAAAGAATGTAATTCATTTTCTGATTTGGCTGTGTAAGTGTGTGTGTATGTGATAATAACACATAACATAAAATTTGCCATTTCAACAATTTTTAAGTGTACACTTCAGTAGTAAATCTATTCACATTGTTGTGAAACAGCTCGCCGGAACATTTCAACTTACAAAGATATATGTAAGATACGGAGCAGTTATCGTATCTATAGGTATGTATTTACATACATATATATATATATGTTATATATAAGATAATGCATGTTATAATTATTCCTCTGTGTGTGTATAAAGATTATATATATGTATGATGCCTGCTTTTATGGAGTGTGTGTATGTGTGTGTGTGTGTGTGTGTGTGTGTGTGCATATTCCCCCTAGCTTGTGGATACTCAGTAAATATTTGCTGAGTGAACAAAATATTTGTGAATTAGGGTTTTACTAAAGAGATGGAAAGAAAGTAGGTCTGTTTCCTCTGATTTTTTTTTGTTTATCCATTTTAATTCTGTAACTAAATCAATTTAAATGTTGCATGTTTAGTGTTAGTATTTTGTGGAATCACTTTTTGATATATTCTTTGAAAAATTACTAATTTGGGAACCACATAATCAAATAATGTAAAAGTCCATTTGAAATTAAAATTATTTGAGTGAAAAGTAGTTGTCAGGCCAGGAATATTCAGGTCCCCAAAGTTCTCCTCTTCACCTGTGTTTGGTTTGGTCTCTGAGCCTTTCTTCTAGGTAATAGTTTTAGGCTGAGTTTAATTAAATTTACTTGGATCAACTTTTTCTTTCTTAATTGTAATACAAATGACTTATTATATTATTAGTTTCAGGTATACAACATAATGGTTCAGCATTTGTATGTATTGTGAAATGATCATCCTAATAAATTTAGTTAACATCCATCACCCTATATAGTTACAAACTTTTTTTTCTTGTGGTGAGAACTTTGAAGGCCTACTCTTTTAGCAACTTTCAAATATGCAATCCAGTATCATTAATTATAGTTACCATGTTATACAATACACCCCCAGGACTTACTTAGAACTGGAAGTTTGTACCTTTTGACCCCTTCACATTCTACCCCTTGCCACTCTTCACACAGACTATAACACACAAAATTTCATTCTCTGAGGAAACAAATGAATAGTTCATGAATAGTAGGTAAATAACTCAGAATAGAAATCTGGGAGTCCTGATAGAGGATGCTGTCTCACCCTTCACGTCTGCTTGGTCAACACAAATTGTCGGTCTGTCTCTAAATATCTCTTGGATCCATTCCCTCTTCTCTGTATCCATAGCCATTTCCCAAAACCAAGTGCCATCATCTCTCACCTGAACCATTGCTCTATTCTGATCTCCTCGCCACTGAGGTCTTCCTCACTAACCCGCTTTGCATAGTCTTACTCAAGTAGCTTTTCTAGAAGAATAGATTTCAAACAGTGTCATAACTCAAAGAACTCAAATTTAGGGTTTGTTCACTTGAAAAAAAAATCAAATAGATCCAAGGTTATCCTGTTATGGAAGAAACCTTTTTTTACATAATTGAAATAAATGGCACTCTAGTATGATCTTTAGTACTTGAGATCAAGTATTTGTAACACCTTGATTTTAACACATTTTATATTTCATTTAAAAGGTTATGACTCACTGTCAGGGGTTAACTCATATGACTCACTGTCAGGGACTAACTCATGAAACAACTCATTCATGAAATACACAATGAAATCTTATCCTTTTTAATGTCTCATAACTGTTTATTTGCTCCATCAGACTTATAATTTTCCACCAGATACACACCAGCTCTTGTTGTTTTCTCTCACTATGTTCATTTCTTTTCTAATGCTAACACAATTTATATACAGTAAAGTACCCCATATGTAACACAGTTAGACTAGTACATAAGGCATATTGGTTCACTGATAGGAGTTTTGTGCTTTTTTTTCTTACTTAACCCATACCCATGATGCTTTTGCCTATCATAACAGATACAACTGACATAAATAGGTTTGATAAAAGACATAATTAACTCTTAGTAAGCCTAAAACCCTGTGGGATGGAAGTAGACAAGCATGGGCATACCAGATCATAGCCTGCTGACCACAGGTATTCAGTGTCATGTGGGCATCTGTCAGTATTTCTTAATGAAGGGAAAGAAGAACACAGGTTTATCTGGTGTGTCCATTATGTGAAGCTAGTTAATAACATCTGATTCACTTATAATCCCTCACATTCATTGAAAAAATTGAAGTTTTCTTGAGTGTGTGAAAAAAGGGTGGAATTGCAATTGCATCAGCAGAGAGCTGATGGGGTCTGTGTTATTTGTGAGCATCATCTGTGTACATGTCTTGTCAGAGAGGTGGTTTTAAACTGCTATTCTGAAACCTAAGCCTGTTTGTATTTTCTGATTTGGCTTCAAACCCTTCAATGTCTGCTGCTTGCTTATAGCGTAAAGTCATGGTGCCCCCAGCATATGAGGCCCGCACGGTACACTGTATATATATCTACAGGGTAAGAGCCTAATGTCCAAGATCCATTGTGATGATGCTTTTCTCTCTGGATTACTGTTCCATTCTCTCTTGCAAGCCGTGATTCTTTGACTGTACCAAGCCATTCAGTAACTCCACTCTTGTACTTCTACTGTTTGTCTAAAATATTCTGTATATTTTATTGCCTATCTGAAACAGTCTTACTGCTCTTTTCATTTTACTAATTCCTATTCTTCCTTTTATTTTCAGTTCAAATTACCTCCTCTTAGGGAGTCTTCCCCATTTTGTTTATCCCCCACCCCCAGGTTTCATTCTAGGTTAGGTGCCCATCCTCTGTTTAACAACAGGGTATATACCTCTGTCTAAGTGCCTGCTCTACTGTATAATAATAGCTTGCATATTTGTCTTTATTTTTTACTAGACAGTGAACCCCTTAAAGGCAGAGATTACCTTTTGTTCTATATCCCCACTGTTTTAACACAGTGCCTAATACATAGAATGTGCTGATTAAATGTTGAACAAATGAATTACATTTAAAGGACTGTGCCTCCTGTAATCTCCATTTTACTAAGTGGCAATTCCAGTCTTCTAGTTGCCCTACCAAAAATCTTGAATTTATCCTCTCTCTCTCTCTGACCCCATCTCCAGTTTATAAGCAAATTCTGTTGCCTCTTTCTCCATATGGTATCCAGAATTCAACCACTTGCCTCCACCAGCACCTGAATCCAAACCCCATCAAGTCGTGCCCGGATTACCATCAGAGCTTCCTAACTGAAGACCTGCCTCCTTCTCCCCCTTCAGTCTGTATTCAACGCAGCAGTCACTGTGATCACGTCAAAACATACACGAGAGCATATTGCGTTTCTGTTCGGAGCCCTCTGGTTCCTTTCTGTTTCATTCTGAGTGAAAGCCAAAGCCCTTGCCTTGTGTGACAAAGCCCTGTGTGGCCCGGCCCTCCTGTTATCCTGCCGCAGCCACACTGGCCTCTTCTGCCCTGGGAACACTCCTGGCATGCTTCTGCCTCAGGGCCATTGTGCCTACTCTGTCCTCTGGCTGCTAACTGCATGGTTCACTCCCCCGCCTTCTTTAAGGTCTTTCCCTAAATGGCCACAGTGTCTAAAATAGTGTCCCGAGGAGCCAAGATGGTGGCATGAGTAAGGCAGCAGAAATCTCTTCCCAAAACCATATATATTTTTGAAAATACAACAAATACAACTATTCCTAAAAGAGAGACCAGAAGATACAGTACAATAGCCAGGCTACATCTACACCTGCGAGAAACCAGTGCCTCACAAAGGGGGTAAGATACAAGCCGCAGCCCTGCGGGACCTGAGTGCACCCCCCACCCCAGCTCCCCAGGGGGAGGAGAGGAGTTGGAGCGGGGAGGGAGTGGGAGCCCAGGACTGCTAAATACCCAGCCCTAGTCATCTGCACCGGGAGCACAGACACACAGTGTGTGGGGTGCTGGATACTAGGGAAACGCAGCAGTAAAACCTGCAAGCAGGTTCCCACAGCCAGCACCCCGGGAGAAAAGAAACGTGAGTAATTTTTGAAAGTCTTAAAGGGACAGGAGCCTCACAGCTGGACGGAAACATCCTGGCACACTCAGCCCAGCAGCTGGGAAACCCAGGGAACTCCAGGCGCCCTAAACCCCTGGGCGGCAATGCAGTTCTGAGGCCCCTCACATTGATAAACAGCCTCCTGCCTGTTCCTCCTCCGGTGCGGCCCCGTCATAGTGGATCAGCAGCCTGAGACCGGCCATGCCCACAGCAGCCGCACAGAGCCTCCTCCACAGCCTCCCAGGCCAGACTCAGAGACCCCATCGGTGCACAGCTGCCCAGCACAAGCCACTGAGGGTTGCTGTTCTCAAAGGAAGGGAAGGCAACAGGCAAGCAGGAAGGGACTTTATTCTCCCAGCTGACACACATGCCAACTGCCTATGACTACGTCTATTGCCATGAAAAGGCAGAAAAATTTGATACAGACAAGAATAACCCAGACATCCCTGAGAGGGAACCTGGGGAGATAGATTTAACCAATCTTCCTGAAAAAGAATTCAAAATAAAGGTCATAACCATGCTGATGGACCTGCAGAGAAATATGCAAGAGCTAAGGGATAAAGTTGGGAGGGAGAATACAGAAATAAAACAATCTCTGGAAAGACTTAAAAGCAGAATGGACGAGGTGCAAGAGACCGTTAATGGAATAGAAATCAGAGAACAGCAACGCAGAGAAGCTGATGCAGAGAGAGATAAAAGGATCTGCAGGAATGAAAGAATATTAAGAGAACTGTGTGACCAATCCAAATGGAACAATATCCACATTATAGGGATACCAGAAGAAGAGAGAGAGAAAGGGATGAAAGTATATTTGAAGAAATAATTGCTGAAAACTTCCCCAAATTGGGGGAGGAAATAGTCTCTCAGCCCACAG